CGGTTGCCAGAACAGTTAGGCAGAGATGAAAGACAAATGACAGAGCCTACGCCCTCGGGAGCGGAGCTGCCTGCCGGCTGCCGGCTGCTGACTTCCACTCGTGTCTTTAAGATGCATTCGTGGACAGTTACAGAACACAGTGCCCTTCGTGGTTGTACAGCAGCAGTAATAACCCCAGGCACCGATCTTAAGGTCCTTCCCTATTGTTGCGACTCAGAACACAACACAACACGTGGCTGTGTTTCAGAGATACTTTTACTGTGGCTGGCGCTGCATTTGCAGCAACAGGAGTGAAGAATGCCTCAGGGAAAGCCGGTCCCAGCACGTGCGCGCCCCTGCCCTCTCGCGAGCCCAGGTGGTATTGCAACTGTGGGGGTCATTTAATTAGGTGCGTGGCAAACAGGGGCTTATTTCATAAACCAGAGCCATTTAATTATTTAGACAGCATCTCTTTCACAGCGAAGTCAGTGTTCATTTCGCCTTTTCATGATGAGAAATCCACTCATCTGTCCCAGTCCCCAGCATCTGCCTGATGCAGAGAGGTGCAATCACCCAGGAGACCCCCACCCCCAGCCTGTCACGCCTGTCACCTCCCCCTTTAGGCTTCACGACAGCTGGAAGGTGCCACACGGGTGCCCCAACCCCCTGCAGCCCCCCAGTGACAAGAGTTCAGAGCCCCGATGCCCCCATGGCCAGCAGGCACAGGTCTGGCCCTGGCCAGCCGTCCCACTGGCTCTGGAGGCCAAGTGTCCCTGCAGCACACATGCCCCTGTGACAGCTGCACTCTGTCGGTGTCATGCAGGAATATGTGCTGGCCGTGGATGCCTACCGCGCTGTCATCCAGTACTACCCCGAGCAGGAGCCACAGCTGCTGAGTGGCATTGGCCGCATCCTCCTCCAGGTACACAGCTGGGCGGGCTATGGGACCATGGGACAGACACACCCCGTTTCCCAAAGTCTGGACTGCTGCTGGGGTTCGCCACTGGCTTGGACACCATGAGGCAGCCAGGGACTTGGCCAGGAGCTGGAGGACGCACCCAAGTAGAGTGCTTTAGAAATGGTCCCAAAGCAGTTAGAAAAGCCTTGACTAAGTGAATTATTCAGCCGGGTGTGGTGGAGCACGAGTGTGATCCCAGCACTCTAGGAGGCTGAGACAGGAGGGCAAGTTGGAGCCCGCCCTGGGCAGCTTAGCAAACCCTGGTTCAAAAAAACTTTAAAAAGGTCCAAGGGTATAGCTCAGTGCAAAGGGCCCTGTGTTTAATTTCTTGGAAAGAAAGGGGAGGTGCTGGATGTGGCAGCACATGCCTGTCATCCCAGCACTCAGGAGGCTAAGGCAGGAGGGTTGCTGTGAGTTCAAGGCCAGGGGAGGCTATACAGTGAATTTTCTGAATTGCAAAGTGAGACCCTGTCTTTAAAAAAAGAAAAGGCAGGCTGCCTCAGTCTCTCAAGTACTGGGATGACAGGCATGAACCACCATGCCTGTCGCTGTATTTTTACTTAATTCTGGGCCAGGATTCATCTCAGAGGACAGATTCCTAGCTGTAACACCCTTAGTGCCAGTGTTGTGGCTGGACGGGAAGTTCTGACGGGAAGGTGACACCCTCCATACCTTCAGTAGCTTCCTCCCTCTTAGCAGGATAATGGCAAACGGCCACTGCAGGTCCCCTGCCTGGCCTGGCCATGGGAGCATGGTGGGAAGCGTGTTTAATATCCCTTCCCGTCTGTCCAGTCTGACTTGACTGGATCATTCTGTCTGAGCAGATCGGAGACATAAAAACAGCCGAGAAGTATTTCCACGACGTTGAAAGAGTCACGCAGAAACTAGATGGGCTGCAGGGTAAAATTATGGTTCTGATGAACAGGTATGTACAGTGGACTCAGGTTTTTCCAACACCCCATAGGCCCTGCTGTTCCCTGAGGCATGTGGGTCCCCTGGAACCTCAGTGTTAAGGCCCTGCCATCTATGTCTGCCTGTGCAGCTGTGTCAGCACAGAGACACCTTGCTGGGCTCTGGGTCCACTCATTACAGTGACCCCACCCAGGACAGGGCAGCAGGGAGGGGCCTGGAGTGGGGCACCTGGCTCACTGCTCGCTGTCTCCCATGTTCTAGGGCCTTCCTGCACCTTGGCCAGAACAACTTCGAAGAAGCCCACCAGTTCTTCACAGAGATCTTGAAGTTGGACCCCACCAATGCAGTGGTAAGTGGCCCGGCCACAAACCAATCCCCAAGGAACCTTCAGCCTTTTGAGCACTTTGCAGATACTAGAAATGTGTGCTCCAGAAATCAAACCCAAACCCGGCATGGTGGCACACGCCTGTCATCCCAACACTCAGGAGGCTGAGGCAGGAGGGTCGCCATGAGTTCAAAACCAGCCTGAACTACGTACCTTCAAAAAAACAGAAAGAAAAAGAAGAGTACACTAAGCTGGCCCAGGGCACCCCAGGATGGGTGGGTGCATGCCCTAGCAGCCCCCTCTCCCACAGGCCAACAACAACGCTGCTGTGTGCCTACTGTACCTGGGCAAGCTTAAGGACTCGCTGCGGCAGCTGGAGGCCATGGTGCGGCAGGACCCGAGGCAATACCTGCACGAGAGCGTGCTCTTCAACCTCACCACCATGTACGAGCTGGAGTCCTCGCGAAGCATGCAGAAGAAGCAGAGCCTGCTCGAGGCCGTGGCCAGCAAGGAAGGCGACAGCTTCAACACGCAGTGCCTCAAGCTGGCCTAGCCCCCTGCTCTGTGTGCGCCCTGTCAGGACCCATAAAGCCCATTGCCCTGGTGCCCAGGAACATACTTCGTGTGTGTGTGTGTGTGTGTGTGTGTGTGTGTGTGTGTGTGTGTGTGTGGACACTGGGGAGTCAACCCAGGGTCTCCAGAGCTATGGCCCTGCCTAAGTATATTGCCCAGGCTCAAATTTATAATCCTCCTGCCTCAACCTCCCAGAGTGCCAGGATTACAGGCTGTGCCACCATACCCGGCCCCTGGGTGAGATTTTAGTTGAGAACTAAGATCCTCTCAAAGAAGCAGAATAGCCAGGAATGAAAGTTGCTCTTGCTTTTCCCACCTTTTTCCCTCGCCACATTCCAGCATGAGGAAGCACCCAATTCGGCTTCCATCCCGACATCCTGCAGTTCCGCAGCTTGTGAAAGATCAGGAGACCTTAAACCAGCAGAGCCGGCCTCAGAGCAAACGCTGCTTCCTTCCTGCTTCCCCCTCACATAGTCAGTGTGCAGGGGTTTTTTTGTTGTTAAGCTTTCACTGTGTAAATCGTAAAATGATTCCAGGTTCCTACAACTTGGTACACGTTAAGATTTCAGAAGAAAACAGCTTTCAGAAAAATGACTTGCAGGGCACCTGTGGAGTTAACACTGAATAGGTATGACAAGAGCCACATCCATCACTCATCCACATAGCTATCCGCAGGCCCACCCACCCACCTGCCTGCCTGCCCACCCATCCATTCATCCACCCACCAGCTACCAGGAAGCCCACCATCCACCTGCTGCCCCTCCCCCACACCCCCAGATGTCCTGAGCTCTACCATGCACCAGGCGCTGGAAAGGACTGGAGGTCCGTACAGTTAAGTCCTCTTCCTGTGCATCACTGGCCAGCTGTCTTCCTTTTAAGGATTCACAGCTCGCAGCAAGACCGCCAACCCTGGCAGGTCCAGAGCTGGCGGGGCCCCTGGGCCCACATGCAGGGCTGGCGGGCTTGTGCCTCCACCTGCCTAGGAGCTGCGTGTGACTCCACCCATCAGAGCTGCACCTGGGTTGGTGTACCCGCTGCTGGCTGGTTTCCCGAGCCTGCCACACCAGAGGGAGCACGGGAGGCCGTGAGCAGTGGCGGCAGTGTGCCAGGGCGTGGGAGGTGACAGCCAGCGGGGCTGCCACATGCAAGCCCCCCAAGTGATCTGCTGGATGCAGCTGGAAGCCACAGGTGAGCTTCGTGACTCAGCTCGACACTGTCATATGCTAAAGTACTATTTCAGTGCCAGTACTGAACTTAGTAGCTCTATTCACTGTTTGTTTTAACACTTTTTGCAGTGCTGGGGATCAAACCCAGAGCCTCACGCATGAGCTCTGCCCAAGCTAACCACCCCCAGCCCTGCAGTGTGACCCCCAAAGCCAAAGTAGAGGTAATAAATGATGCGGTCACCTACCCCCACCCACAGTACTAGGGACTGAACACAAGGCCTTTCCTCGGACCTACAACCCCAGGCCTTTTAAGACAAGGTCTCACTAAGTTGACCAGGCTGAGCTAGAATGTGGATCCTCCTGCCTCTGCCTCCCAGTGTACTGGGATTACAGGCCTGGAGCTACTGCCAGCTTTGATGTGCATTTTAATAGGAAGAATTTTCATCCTGTTTTTAAAAAACATACTTTAAAAACTACTAAAACACTCTAAAACATGAAGTCAAATGGGAAACTACCACCCCTGCCCCCCCGTACCAGGAATCAAAGTTACGACCTTGCGCTTGCCAGGCAGGTGCTGTGCCGCTGAGCTAAATCCCCAGCCCCAGTATTTTTTTTTTTGTTTTTCAACTGGGATTTTTCTTTTTGTTTTAGAACAAGGTCTTGCTATGAACCCAGCCTTACCTCGAACTCCTGATGCCGCTCCTGCCTTAGCCTCCGAGTGTGGGATGACAGGTGTGCACCATCAAACCTGGTGGACTGGGAGTCTTCCTGTGATTGTTGCACACTAGGCATAACTGCATCTCCATATTTATGTTTGTGTGAGAGACAGATGGGTCAGACCCAGAGTCTCCTACCAGCCAGACAAATGCTCAGTCTACCCTGCGCCATCCCCATAGCCCGATCCTGAGCAGAAACAACTTCTGCTCAACTACTCACAACTATCTCACAACTGCACTGTGAAAGAACCTAGAAACCTCACCCTGGACGATACAGTAATTAGCTGTACATGCAGGAGCACACAAAGCGTGTAAGCAGTGGTGTTAATGCCATTTCTACAAGAACTTGAGGCAACTCCAGGCCACAAGCATAGAGTTAAGGCAATGGCTTTATTGTGATAAGGAAGCAACAAGGGAAGCCTGAGGGTGCCTCCCCGCACCAGCTATGACCCCGGGAGAAGCAGCATCACCTGGCTGGTCCCACCATCTATGGGCAGTGATGTCACACACCACACACTGCCCAGGAGCCTCACTCTGGGCGAAAGCTTGTACTGAGTTACACTGCAGTACCCATACTACCCGGGGCTCTTGCACCCCCATCTTGATTAATTAGAGGAGATTACAGTGATGTTTGCATTCCCAGTTGCTTCTGAGTTAAAATTAGTTGTATGGCTCTTTTCTTTAAAAATATTCTGATCAGGTAATCATGCAGAAGAACAATCCAGCCTCAGGGCACAGCAGTGGGCTCCAGGCTACACGGTTTGCTCCAGGAACTTCACGTACTGCTCCCGGGCAGGGAAGTGCTCAGCTGGTCGGTTGTACGCTGTCCACACAGGCTCACCCACGAACAGTCGCATGGCCTTCACGTAGTTCTAGGAAGCAGATACCAGTCTCAGTGCCACCGCAGCTTCCCTACACGTGGCAGTCAGGAGGCCCCTGTAGCTGCACTCAAGATAAAGGGACCCTGGCATAGGTGGCCTGGCTGTTGACATGAGCCCATGTACCTGTCCCCACTAAAGGACAGGGCCAGCAAATGCATATGAGCCCCACCCTAGCCTCACAAGTGCCCAACCATCCTCTCTGTCCTTGGAGTCCCACTCTCCTGAGAATTAGCACTGGGGCCAGCCATGGTGGCCCACACCTATGATCCCAGCACTTGGGAGGCTGAAGAAGAAGGATCACTGCAAGTTCAAGGCTAGCCTGGGTTACATAGTAAGTTTAAAGCCAGCCTGAACTACATAGCAAGATCCGTCTCAAAAACCAAAAACAAAAATTATACATAAATCTCATATTTATCTAAATCACATCAAAAGCACACAGTAACTATCTTTTCTCTGTGTTTGATGCCAGTCTTCATTACTATATTCTACTGTTAGGGGCCAACAGGAACAGCACGGCCTCCCTACAGTGCCTCACACCCATGGCCCCAAGGACCTGGAGGAGATCTTGGAGTAGCAGGAGGGGTGGGGCAGGCCACTTTCTTGCCAACCTGGCCTCCCTGACCCGGCCAGTGTGCTGAGGACTAGAGAGCTGAGCAACACTGTCCACCAGAGCTACTTGGCATGCAGGCCCCTCCCGCTGGGCCCTGGGGCTGCTGGTCCCTCCTAGAAGCAGCAGCTGGAGGTCTAGACCCTATGGCTGTCCCCATTCACAGACTGTGGGTCTCGTGTGGCCCAGCTGCAGTCATCACTCTCAAGGGCAGCATGGCCAGCACTGGCCACACAGAGGACATGGCACACACTACCTTCTCATCCAGTGTGAAGCGGTGGTAGATGCCAGCTGGGAGGGTGATCATGTCACCCTTCTCCATGGAGATCCGGATCCACTTGTCCTCCTTGTCCCTGACATCAAAGTACCCACTGCCATCCAGGATGTAGCGGATCTCCTCGTCCAGGTGCAAGTGCTCTGTGTAGAACACCTTGATCTGGGGGAGCAGTGGTCCCGGTGAGGCGGGGAAAGAAGGGCCCTTCCCCACTGTGACCACAGTGACTGCTGCACACAGCCACGATCACACTGTCTGTGTAGCTGCCTGGGGACAGGTGGTGACAGGATCCATACACAGTGCCCATGTCAGAAGACCTTCCCAGGTCAAACCTGTATAGAAGCCGAAAACCTTTCGTGGTAAATGCCCACACCCTTCACCAAGACCTCACCTCTGGCTTTACCCTCAGGCACTAGCACCTCCCAGCTGCACTCAGGGTTTTGGAGCCTTCCTGCTTAAAGCTTATACATTTCTGGCCAGGTGCAGTGGCATACACCTGTCATCCCAGCACTTGGCAGGCTGAGGCAGGAGGACTGCAAGTCCAAGCCCAGCCTGGGCAACTTAGTGATTTAGTGAGACCCTGTCTTAAAAAATAAAACAAGGGCTGAGGATGGAGCCCAGGGTGAAGGCCTTGAGTTCTATCCATAGCACTGTAGAAAAAAAAAAAAGTACCCCATCTCTGGAGAAGCTGAAATGTGTGGAAAACAGGCCTCGTGGAAGGACAAAGGACACGGGCACCTCTGTGGGACTGTGGTTTCACCATGGCATCCAGAGCTTGTGAACGTCTGCAACACCTCGGCCAGAGAGGCCTCAGGAACCAGGAAGCGGGGGCAGGCCTCTACATTCAGCACACTCCTGGGTGCCGCCGCTACCAGAAAGCAACAAAGACAGAGAATGCCAGGCATGCGGGACAGCGCAGAGGCTGTGTGTGTCTTTCTACATAATTTTGATTTCAGAACCTGGTTATGTCTTACCAAGTCATAAATAAAAGTAAAACAAGATCAGGAGGAAAATCTTTCATTTGGAATCAAGAAATAAATTCAAAGCTACCAAGTATGATGTCACATCCTGTAATTCCAGCACTCAGAAGGCTGAGGTAGGAGGATCAAAAGTTCTAGACCAGCCTACAACAGCCTAGGGTACACACTGAGACCGTGTCTCAAGAAAACAAAGTAAGTAAGGAAGAAGAAAAGTTTTCAAACCAGTGACAGCTTCCACCTCCAGAAATTAGGGGAAAAAAGAGCAAATTAAACCCAAGGAACATAGGAGACAAAGATTAGAGCAAAAGTCAATTAAAAAAAAAAGAAAGAAACAGAAAATCAATGAGACCAAAGGTTCTCCATGAGGATCAATGAAATTGGTGAGCCGCCAGCCAAGCCCACCAAAGGAGAGGCTGAGGAGCACGGGGTCAGCACAGGAGGGGACAGCACTGCCTGCCACCCACAGGTGTCCAAGGACAGGAGGGCACATTCTGAATGACCTGACAGCAGTAAGCACAACGGCTCCAACAATGCAGGCAGAAGCCCAGACCAAGCTCCTCTGAGCCAGCTGAGCAGTAAACAACCCTATGTGTGATCAAGACACGTGGTCACCAACCTTCCTGGTGCATGCCTGTAATCCCCTCTCTGGGAGGCTGAGGCAGGAGAATCATAAGTTCAAGCCCAGCCTGGGCAACTGAGGAACTTAACAAGAAATAAAAATAGAAAGGTCTTGGGATGTAATGTGGGTTCAATCCCCAATACTACAAACAAAATTTTTTTTAAAAAGGCCCTGCACGGCACCCAGGGGCATTGCTGATGAGTCCACCAAACATGGAAAGATACCACCCTCTGCCCAAGGCGTGGGAGGAGGGACCAATGTCCCCCTTCTCCCAGCATGAGGACAGAAGTGTCTCAGTGGCCTCCCCTGGCCCGGCCTCACCTTCTCCTCGAAGTTGGGCAATCTGTCCTTGCAGATGGTGATGATGTCCATCCAGGAGTAGCTCCTGTCCCTGCGGATCTGCGCCAGCTCCGGGTCCGTCTCGTGCTTGTCGGGGTCCAGCTGCATGAGCAGGAGACAAGGAGGAGCCTCGTGAACTCGAGGCGGTACGAGGCACTCTCTGGACCGCCTGTGCTTCTCGCCAAATGCACATCTTCCTCTCTAACAATGCTTGTTTGCTTGCAGTACTCTGGGCTACATCCTCAGCCCTATTTGTTTTCTTTTTGGGACTAGAGTCTTGCTAAGCCATTAACTTGCCTGGGCTGGGCTTGAACTTGCGGATCCTCCTGCCTCAGCCTGCCACAGTTTTTGGATGACAGGCGTGCATGTGCCACCACACCTGGTTTCACTTACTCCTTTGCCGGCTCTAAGCCTGCCCTCCTTCTTGTCCTCTCCTCACTTCTGTCCGTGGAATCTTCCATTCTCCAAGTTGCCACCAAGGGATGTGGCGCTCTGCCCCTCTGCCCCTCCCTGCAGCTTCCTACTAGGTCCCTTGTTACCTGTCTGGCCAATGACACTGCTCTTTCCTGAGTTCCATTTCTCTGCCACCTCCAGCACGAGGATGAGTCTCAGTGACACCCTGGGCCGCAGTTGGGCCCCAGGGTTTTCCTGGGCCAGGACATCAGGGGCCCTCCCAGCCCATGCAAAAGCTCCAGTTCACCAGGCTGGGATAAGAGCACATCTGTCCTCTGGAACCAGGTGACTTTTCTGCTTCTATCTTCCCCTCCCCACCTACTGTAAAAGAAGTCTATATTCCAGAGCAGGGTGGTGGTGCACACCTGTCATCTCAGCACTCTAGAGGCTGAGGCAGGGGGATCACTGTGAGTTTAAAGCTAGCCTGGGCTACATAGTGAATTCAAGGCCAGCCTGAGCTACATAGCAAAACCCTGGCTCAAAAAAAGAAAAGAAAAATGAAAAAATGCTCCTTATCTGTTTCTCCTGTTAAAAAAATGACAGGGGACAGCATGTGTGATTTGGGACTGAGCTCGTCACCTGAAACAACACTGAATCTTGCCCTAAATTCCACAGAATCAAATGAAACTTGAGGGAAGAGACAGATCCCAAAACACTCATTTTGCCTAAAAACAGGAAAGTCCAGTCCTCCTGAGCCAGCTCATAAGAAACTGCCCTCCCCCTTAACACTTACAAAAAATAACCTGAAGTAAACTGACACTAACTCACCAGCCCAATTTCCTTATTTTCCTTGTTCCCACCTTACAAAACCCATTCTTCTGCCAACACCTATGAGAGCTTCTGGAGCATGAGGGACTGATTCCAGGACACCTATGCACACACACGTGCATGTGCACACATGCACACACACCAAAATCCATGGGAGTTTGCTTACGACATTCACAGATCCTCCTGTCCACTGGCAACCATCTTAGGAGGACTACACAGAACCTAGCATACTGTTACATGAGTGGCTCCACTGCATTCCCTAGGGAAGAAAGATGGCTGGATGTGTTCGGGACGGGTGCTACTTTTCAATATTTTCCATCAGCAGTTGGTTCAATGTATGACTACATTTCATAACATGGAGATGCCTCTGATTCATTAATCTCATAAAAGCCAATTCAGGAGCTGAGTATGCAGCTCAGGCTACAGCGCTTACCCCACAAGCAGAAGGCCCTCAGTTCAATCCCCAGCACTGCTGGTTGCAGAGGTCGCACCCCTGAGCTATTCTAGTCCCCCTCCGCAGTCTTCACTGGGACCTGCACAGGATCCAGTGGGTGACCTTTTATTTCTTATTGGTTTGTTTTTTCAGACAGGATCTCACCATGCAGTTCAGTCTAGCCTTAAACTCATTATGTAGCCAAAGCTGGCCTCAAGCTCAGTGATCCTCCTGCTTCAGCCTCCTGAGTGCTGGGAAGCCAGGCCCTGGCTGGATGACTTTTTAATATCAGCACAAACACTCCACCTTTGGATCACACTAATGCTAATAAGTCCACACATTTCACCCTCTGTCCCACAAATGCCCCTTCCTGATCACGAGCTCCACGCCTGACTGTAGGGGAAAGGCGTTGTCCAGTGCCCCGCAGACCCTGCAGCAGGTAAAGTGGATCTATTAAGTGCGGGTTACTCTGACTGCGCAGTCACTAAGGACACCGATCTGGGACACACTGAAAGGATGGCTCTGAGCCAAGTATGGTGGCACAGGCATGGAATTGCGGTGTCACCGGTCGGAGTCCAAAAGCAGGTCCCCAGCCTGGGTGGTGGCGCATGCCTGTAATCACAGCGCTCGGAAGGCTGAGGCAGGAGGACTGCAACCTGGAGCTCTGGCTTGGCAATTTAGTAACTTACAGAGGCCGCCTCAGGATTAAAAAAGTCTGGGGGTGCGGCTCAGTCTCCTCCCTAGTACTGCAGAGAAGTGTTAGTTCCAGGGTGGGCCGTGCCTTCATTGCATTGCGATTAAGGAATGCACAGCGGCTGGAGGACCCAAAAGGCTAACGCCTCCTTCGCAGCCTCACCGCACATCCCAGCCCGAGCATGCGCACAACGGTCCGGACCCCGGCGGCCCAGCACCCGACCACCACTCCGCGCAGAGCATGCGCGGTTGCCTCCGTCTGTCAGGCCGCCCAGATGCCCGGCTCAGCCCCCTACAGAGCATGCGCCGCAGCCCGGCCGCTGAAGAGGGCCGCCCGCCCCGCCGCCATGCGCACCTTCCAGTAAAGCACGCCGAGTTTGCGCAGCTGCTCCAGGCTCACCGGGCGGTCGGGCTCGAGGCGGTGCGGCAGCCGCGGGTCTTCCATGGACTCGTCCATGTACCAGGCCTGCACCATGGCGGCTACAGGGTTGTGCCTGGGGAGGGCGGCTGGGACCAGCGGGTAGTAGGGCCGGGGGCGGGACGAAGGCCTCTGGGGGTGGGGCCTCCCCTGAGCCGGGCGGGTAGTAGGGCTGGGGGCGGGGCTCCTGGGAACTGGACCCGGCTTCCTGAGGGAGATCGGAGGGAATCCGAGTCCGCTCCGCGTTTCCTGCAACCAGCAGCTGCATCTTTGACGCAGTTCTTGCGGGATCAGCCCAGCTGGAATCCGAGTTGTGTGCGATCCTCCTGCCTCAGCCTCTTGCACCCTGGGACAACAGGCATGGGTCACCGCACCACCAGCACAGCTGTTTTGAAGGGCCCTGCTGAGCTGGATTGGGGACACCCAGGCCTGCCGGCGGTGGGAAACCCCACCTCACCCCCCTCTCTGTGTGGCTCCCTCCCCTGGCCCCACCTCCTCATTCCCTGCCTATGAACCCCATGGGCCCGACTGGCCCTTAAAAATATTCATCCTGAGCAGATTGGGTATACTCGCAGAGCTTGAGGAAGGGAACGCGATCCTCTGGTCCCATTTTCGAGTTCATTCACCACGTTTGTGTGAAACGGCAGGTAGCCAAGTCTCAAGTCTGCAAAGACTGCCCAAGTCCTCGAGGGGACACAGCGTGAGGACGGGACCGAGGGCCCTGCAGAGCAGGGAGGGCAAGACACAAACTAGGCCAGCAAGGGAAAAAGCAGACAGGAATCCCCCGGAAGTGCTTCCTGCCTTAGTCGGGGAGGGAGGGGGCAGTGGCTGGAGGGGTGTGCTGCCCCGCGCTGGTGATCCTGTTGGGAGGCAGGAGGGAACTCCGCTACATGAGCTGCACGTGTTATCTCCTCCTTGCTTTTATTTTATGCAAAAACATTTTAAAATACATTATGTCCAACATTGGTTTTAAGCTTACACATAAAGAGAAAAAGCCAAAGAAAAACTATAGATGGGTTTACTTATGTCCCTTGGTCTTTAGCAGTTGTCACCATCCCACATCGGCGCCAGGGTGCCCCGACCCCTCACTGCCTGCTGTCCAGCAGCCTCAGTCCAGCGAACAGGTCACCTAGTGCTGCAACTGGGAAGGCAAAGGCACTCACTCTCACAGTGCCTCCAAATCAGCCTGTCTTTTCATAGTATTTATTTTGGGTTTTTTTGACACAGCTTCACTATATAGCTCAGGCTAGCCTCAGACTCATTCGGGAATTATACCATAGGTGTGCACCACCATCCCCAGCAGTAGTAGGGGTTAAACCCAGGGCTTCTGCATGGAGATACTTCCCTGACTTTCTCATTTATATGGGGTTTTTTGGGGGACAAGGTTTGCTAAGGTGCTCAGGCTGAGCTCAAACTTGTGATCCTTCTGGCTCTGCCTCCCAGCGTGCTGGGATTACATATGTGTGCCACCACACCCGGCTCCATGTTTTATTTTTAGTGAGTCCTTATTTAAATCAAAGCCCAAGCATTTCAGGCCAGATTGCAATAAAACAAGAGAACAGTATCAAGCCTAATAAGCACAGAACCGACTCTTCACAGAATCTGCAAATCTCCAACTTGTTCACTGCTTCCTGTAAGTCTCTGTGTCCAGCCATGTCACAGAACGCCAGGGTGGCCTCAGTCTTGGCAGAAGCTGTGTCCATCTGTCTACTGCAGCAGCCCAGAGGAGTCTATGGTGTACGCTGGGAGTAAAGGTCACTGCAGCCCCAGCTCGTGGGTAAGGGTTCTCTGCGACTTTGCTCAGTCTTCAGACTGCCTGGCGCCTTCTCTGGCCAGCCTATCAGCCTCCTCGTTGCCCATGAATCCCGAATGGCCAGGAATGTGCATCTGTTAGACAAACATTTGTGGTTACCTGCCTGATGTTTGCACAGGCAGCCTCTGGTGAGCACGACCATACTCACTGTAACCGGAGCAGGCTGAGCTCACGAGGGATTGTACAGCAGGCGCGGGTACACTATGCAGCGATGTCACCAACACCCCAGGCAGAGCTTCCCTACGACTTGGACGCTGCCCCTCACAGTCCTGCTCCCACTGAGCAGCGAGCAGGCCAGCACACAGGCAGACCACAGATGGGCAGCGGATGATGGGTGTTTCTGTGCCACACACTTTATTCTCCCTAAACACTGCTGAAAAGAATGGACGTGCTGCACATGGCGTGCATGCCTGTGATCCAGCTACTCAGGAGGCCGAGGCAAGAGGACTGTGACCAGTTCGAGGCCAACATGGGCTATGTAGTGAGTTCAAGGCCACCCTAAAGTACACAGTGAGACCCTGTCCAAACAAAAAATATAGAAAAAAGTAAAAAAAGGCTGGGGATATAGCTCAGTGCTAAGGCTCCCTTGGTTCAATCTCCAATTCCACAAAACAAGTGAACGAAAAACAAGGAAAAAAAAACCATTATTATCCATGGCTAAGAGATTCAATCCAACATGTTTAGTGCACATCATGCCACTACCTTGTCCTTAAACCCCGATGCGAACCTCCCCCCCACGTGGACGCCCATCACACCCCACTCACCCACTGGATGTCCATGCCCTGCGTGAGCCTCTCGAGCCGCACGAAGTCCTCCTTGTTGACCACCTCTTTCCCCGCACTCGTCCTCCACCCGTTCTTCTTCCAGCCTGGCACCCAGCTGGTGATCCCTAGACACACATCACAGCTCATCCTCGTGGCCGAGGCTGGGCTGCCAGCCTGGACACCTCACTTCCTTCGTGGCCTCACCAGCAGCACCCCACCCCTTCCTGCACCCCCAGCTGCGATGTCACTGCGCCTGCCCTAAGTGTCCCCCACCTGCTGCTGCACATGGCCCCTCCCAGCATGCCATGCTGCCAGGTCACTCACGCAAGGGCTCCCAAATCCTCCCAGCCCTTCTGTCCCCCCAGACCAGATGTCCCCTGACTCTCTGTGCCTGTCCAGAAGCAGCCACTCCCGTGTGAGGACGGGCAGGCACTCACCGTTGATGGTGAACATGCTGTCCGTGTACAGCACCAGCTTGCTGATATCCTGGGCCTTGGCTTGTTCTATAGCTTTGCACGCTGCCTTGAGAAACAGAGGCCAGTCAGGCTGCCCTGGAAGTTCAACTTCAGGCCTTCCCCACACTCGCAATAACTGCAAAGCCAAAAGAGCCCTTCCGGCCCTGCATGGTTATGTTCTCTACAGTGTTACACACACGCTCAATGCTCCTGTCCCCACCCACTTGACATAAGGTTTTAGAATTTTTGAGTAAATTCCCACCTTTCAGAATTTTTACTAACCCAAAATTTCTTTAGGATGTTGAGTGTCTCCTATGCATGGATAGTAAGATAAGGTGGAAAAAGGCTGATGTGCTCATGGCCAATCAGGAAGGATAAACACACGTTTATCGGATAACTTACATGGATTTCCGCTCTCTGGTTCGTCTGTCGCCCAGGAAGTCTAATGCCTACATTTCTGTTTCAAAATAGTACAAAAGAGAATTACAAAGCTAAGCTTTGAAGCGATTCCCATCAATGGACACAACAAAGCAGTGTACTGTTATTTGAAATACGCTTCAGGCAGAAACACACTCTTTCAAAGTCAAAGTGACAACATTAAGGCTCTGGGGGAAGACGCCCTGCTGGCATCACACAGAGGTTGCTGCTGGGCCACAAGCCAAAGGCTGCACCGAACCTCCGCACCTGAAGGTGCTGGCCTGTGTCTCAGGTGGGCACGAGTCCTGGGCACTGGTGCCAGGCTCGTGCTCTCCCGCCAAGGTCTGCAGCTCACGTGAAACGTTGAGAAAAAACTTTGTAAAGCGCAAGAGATGTGGACAGTGGTCTTTACACTACGTATCTATGGCACAGTTCCCGTGGGCACCCGAACGCAGTGGAAACCAAAGGTGAGAGCTGGCACGAGACAACATTCCCAGGGTCAAGTCCCATCCGTGTACGGAGTTTTAGGGCTGTCGGCTACTCTTGGAGTTCTTCCCCCAGGGCCCAGGTATAGCGACTGTGCTTCACATCACCCCAACTATCTCTGGTTCATGCATCTTCCTCAGAGTCCGGTGATATGACAAGCTCCGAGCCAGGCCACCCACCTGGGGACTCCCAAGACCCTGTCCCTGTGCCACAAGATGCTTAAGCTAGAGGCAGTGAGGCCATTCTGTGGGAAGCTCATCAGTGGACAGGGACTCCTAAGAGTTGGCCAGGAGAGCAGGGCCATGGGCTGGCGTCTCACAGGGAAGGATAAGGCCGTTCTGGAAGCTCTGCGGCCTGACAGGCCCAGCAGCACTGCTACCCGCCAGGTTTCCCACCCAGCAGTCAACACCAAGGCCGACCCACCAGGACGACCCTGACTCATCTTTTCACGCATTTTGGAATAGGATTTGGTAAAACCCCATGCTTAAAACCTCCACTTTCTCCGTTCACTCACAGAGGGTGGCCTGGCCCCCAGTAGACGCCGATTCCAGCTCTGGCCCTCCTCCGCCCATTACTAGAGCAGCAGCCATCGGTGTACACAACGACAGAGTCTCCTGTGGAGGAAACAAGGGTGCCACGTCAACCCACTGGAATCCAAATGCACCTCTAACGCTGTGAGGCAGAGGGCTTCGCAGAGCCGCAGTGCTCTGCCTAGGAAAACAAAGTCTGCTCCCCAGCCGGCACACCTGCCCTCACAACCTGCTCAGTGAGACCTGTGGCTCCTGCCCCGCCCTGGAGGAACCAGAGGACAGCGGGGCTGTCCTTCTCCGTGCAGCTGGCCAACTGGGGAGGGCTCGGCCCATCCCTGGCAGCCTCGGTGCCTGATGATAAGGAAAAGAGGCAAGGGAGCCAGCCTGTCAAATAACTGCAGACCTGATCTATAAACGCTACTGCAACAACATTTTCCACTGGCTTCCCTTGAAATAAATTACAAAATGGCTTTTGCTTAGGGAAAACTGAACACACAAACACACTGACGAAAAATGTTCTGTTTTCTATTCCTACATAGAAAAGACGAAAAGGAGACTTATACAAGTCACCAAATACATACAACCCATCCTGGAGCTAAAGGTGGAGGAAAAGCTCGTGCCTCTCGCTTCTCAGGATGGAGCAGTGTGGTGAGAACCTGCCACAGCAGGCAGCTGAGGCCCGGGCTCCCGCCAGCAGCTCACATCTATGTGAGGCCCTGAAGCCCTGAGTGCTGAGGGAACACAGGTATTTTTGCAAAATTCTGTGGTGATGTTTCATTTGTACTCTACAAGATGATTTTCCTAAGAATATCCGAAAGTTTGACAGTTCCGTACGAGTTGGTCATTACAGTGACCTTGCAGATTTCTAAATAAACTTTACCACAAAGAACGAGAACAGACATCAGCTCAATTTCTCCCCTTTACAGTGGGGTTTATTGGTACTGGGGATCGAACCTAAGGACCTCTGCACTGAGTTACGTCTCCAGCCTTCCCCAGCCTTTCTGCTTTTTTGAGATAAGAGTGTCACCATGTATTCCAGGCTGGCCTAGAACTTACTGTGATCTTCCTGCCTCAGCCTCCCATGTGCTGGGATTACAGGAGTACACAACCATGCCTGGGTATGATTGCTATACATATATTTCTAATTTCAGGAAAGACATACCCATGTAAGAAAATGTGTCCTTGCTAATGGGAAGGGCTGGCTCTGTGTTCTGTCTTGCGAGCTTGACACTCGGCTCTGTGCTTGCGTCTTCACTGTCATCTAGAGGCTCCCGGGGCCGCTTGCTGGCTTTCACCTGTGATTCTTCTGCGTTTTTCTGCCCTGAAAGACAGTGTTTGCTCTTGAGTCAGAAACAATGCACATAACATGAAACCCTTCAGAATCAGGAATCCTAGAACACTATTTCCTATCACTAAATGAACCTAAACCCTCTCTGTGTGACCCTACAGAGATGGAATGGCTCAGAACACACCAGCTCATTCTGACATCCTGGGAAATAATTCTAAATTTTCCAAAATAAGCTTGATATGGACAAAGGAGGATAACAACATCAAATCAGATCTGGTTTTGATGGTGATGATAGAGATAGGATTTACAGATCACAACAATCTGAAAATCCTAGGGGTACTTTCTCTAGGATAAACAAAACCCATGTTTGTATACATCGGTGGTGTCCAAGGTCCAGCCTACTCAAAGCCCCAAATGCTACAATGACAGAGTCCATGTAGAAAATCTCCACACTGACCTACATCCCCAACTCCACATGGAATTTTAAAATCTTGTCCCTATATCAGAATTGCTTCGCTTACCTCTCTGTGTATCAGTCTGTCATATCCCTGAGATTAGGCCTCATACTTTCAATACTTTCTGTCACACATGAAATTGAAAGAAATTCCAATTGTACAATACTATCTCAAATAAAAACAAAACATTGTTTAAGTGCATACTGTGAAAGTAAGCACATTCTTCCCTTTAAAGTCATAGCCTATTTGCTCCAACAACAGTACAGGTTTGTTTTTGTTTTTTTTTTAATCTAAGGAATTGGCCAAGCATGGTGGCATAAGCTTGTAATCCCAGCACTCAGGAGACTGAGGCAGGAAGATTGCCAGCAGTTCCAGGCCAGCCTGGGCTACACAACAAAACCCTGTCTCAAAAAATACCAAAAAAAAGTAAAGAAAATGGTAAGAACTTGTGACCTGCTGAGCACACTGAATGGGACAGGCAATCTGGGTCCTTGTCTATGTCTCTAACACTGTTACGGACATGACTCGCTATTCTTTAATCTTTATTCATTCTTGAATGGAAAAATGGTCCAAGAACATCAGGATAGGAGAAGCAAAGCGGGATAAAATGTCACACTGACACAAGAGGCGAGTACCTTCTGAGCCATCTGGGCTTGAAGACTTCCTGACAAAGGCCCAGGCCTCATCCTCAGTGGCAAACTTCTTAAATCTGGCAGCAGGAAACCGGTCCACCTGTGCTCTGCACTCGTTCCTGGAAAAAGCCAGCACTCCATTTCTTACCTTTCTCCCTCTTCAGTTTACCTCCAAAAATGTGACACTAGGCATAAAAGGTCTAACTGATCAAAAGTCTTTTCTTAGGTTGGGAACAGCACAAAAAGGATGTGCTGTCAGTTCCTTGTGTCATAGATTCACACTCTCCAATTCACAGTTTTATCTTACAGGTCAGATTCTACAACTCGCCCCCTGGTATATCTAGCTAGACGGTGTATCAGTGCCATACGGCTCTCCACAAACTAAGTGCACACTAAATTTTGGGTCTTCCGAAAAGAGCCCATTCATTACTTTATTACACCAAAAGGGTCAACATCTGAGATGCTATTCCTCAGCAGCGCACGTGTGTGGCACAGGGAAACAACACGGGCACAGACAATAAACCTTGGCATCATACAGGAGGAATTCCGGGCACCGGGTCACAACATCCGGGCTCAAGTCCGATTTCTGCCCCTCACTCGCCTATGAATTTCCTCAACCCAATGACCTGAACATGAAGATACCCCCGTGGGTGTAGTGTCACACGGGGGGGTGTTACAGGGATCCAACTGCAAATGCTAGTTCACCAGTTTCTTTAAAAACACACACATCCACAGAAGACAACAGTAGCCACAATCTGAGTTCCACTTCCAAGTCAGCTATATGCAAAAACCTGGTAATGCTATCTGGTACTGACTACGTATTACTTTTGAGAGCCGTTTGAGTTTCATTATGTAGCCCGGGCTGGCCTCCAACTCAAGGCGATCGCCCTGCTCAACCTGCCGAGTGCTGGGCTAACAAGCTGTGCCACCACGCCAGGTTATGTGTTTCTTTTGGGAATTCCTCAATTATAACAAAGATGGTCGATCCCAAATTACAGTGGCCTTTCTGGAGCGTCAAACACTACTATAAAGGAGGACAGCGGGCTCTGGGCTCCAAGCGCGAGACTCGGCGCGCCAGGCCACGAGGGCGCGGCGGCCACTCACCACGTCGAGAAGACCCCGGTCCTACGGCCCCTCCGCACCGCGTAGAACATCCCGAGCCTGCAGCAGCTGTGGCCGCGGCACACAGCACCCAAGCAGACTCTGCGGGCCAGCGGCAGCACCCAGCGCATCGCTCACTTCCACGCAAGGCGCCGCATTTTTAAGGTCCTGTCTGGGCGGAGCCGGAAGCGCCCGACACCACACTTCCGGTAACAACACGGGGGGGGGGGGCTATGACGACACATGGGAGGGTGTGGTCCGCTGCTGGTGGGCGGGGCTCGCAGATTCCTTGCGGCGCTAGAGACTTGACTGATCCAAGCTTAGGCTACAATGGGATGAGGTTCTGAGTCCAGCTGCTCAGTTGATCGCCTAGAAGTGAAGGACAAAAGAGGGGGCCTGGGCCCTCCTGGACCCCTCACCTTGGGGTGCACCTCTCTGTTCCAAGCAGGCAGCTGACCAGGGAGTGGCGAGGCATGGTAGTGCCCCCCTTGTAATCCCAGCACTCTGGGAGGCTGAGGCAGAAGGATCGCAAATTTCAGCCCATCCTAGGCCACTTAGCGACTTAGTGAGGCTTTGTCTCAAAATTTTAAAAAAGGCTTGGGGATGTAGCCCAGCGTGAAGGACCTGTTCAATCCCCAGTACTGCAAAAATAAATAGATGGTAGATACCATAGATAGATAGATAATTAGATAGAATATAAAAAGGAATTCGGGCTGCATTACCAGACAAATGAATAAAGACAATGTGATATCTATACATAATGGAATACTACTCTGCTATAAAGGATAAATTCAAGGTGTTTGTTAGAAAATGGATTCACTGGGGAAAACAACGCCAAGTACATAAAATAAATCAGATACGCAATACTATATGGTTTCTCATTTAAGTAATGCAAAGTGAAAATAAATAACAAGCTAAAAGATAGGGCTGGGCATGGTGGCACTTGCATGTAATCCCAGCACTTAGGAGGCTGAGGCAGGATTGTCATGAGTTCAAAGCCAGCCTGGGTTACGTAGTAAACCCTGTCTCAAAAAAACACAAGAAAAGGCCAGGCATAGTGGCGCACACCTGTAATCCCAACACTCGGGAGACTGAGGCAGGAGGATCGTTGCGAGTTTGAGACCAGCCTGGGCTACAAAGTGAGCTCAAGGTCAGCCTGAACTGCATAGCAACACCCTGTCTCAAAAAGACAAAAAAAAAAAAAGAAAGAAAGAAAGAAAGAAAAGAAAAGAAAAGAAAAGAAGAAGGAGGAGGAGAAGAAAACAAAAGATTTGTACAAGAAGAAAAAAAGAGGCCAGACTTGGACTCCAGCCCATAATAGAAGGCCTTCTGGCCAAGGGAATATTTGGCAGCTGCCAGTCTCCCTGCAACACCCTCACCTTAATGGTAGCAAAATGTCAGGAGAATAACAGTCAGTTCAGGATCTGAGAGTTGTAAGTGAGCCAGTGATCCCTATCCATCTGCTTTTGGTTGAGCCCTATACGCTCCTGTCTGAGATCACTGGGGACACATACTGGTGCTCGGCGCTGCACTTAAAAGATGCTTGCTTTTCTACTCCACTGAATCAGAGCTCCAATCTCTATTCACCTCTAAATGAGAGGATCCTGTCAATCTGTGCCCCAACGACTTACCTGGACCAAGCTTTCCCAGGGCTTCTGGGACAGTCCCTCCCTTTGTGTCCAGGCCCTGGCCAAGGACCTCTGGGATCCGTATCTGGAAAAGCAAAGTGTCCTCTGGATGGAGACCACTACAAAGCAGCTCTGAGCAGGACTTAAATTAACCAATTGGATTTTCATGTTTACTTGTGAGTCTGTCCAAGGCCTAGGTCCCTTGTCTGGAGATGGGCAGTGGACTCAGTAAGTGAACCTCTGTGAGTCACTGGACTCTACTGAGGCCTGTAATGGTGGGTGAAGCCATAAAGCCTCAAAGGATAGGACAAGGTCACAGCTAAGGACACCTGGCTCCAACTTCAACTAGAAAAAGACTATAGCCTCAGGCATCTCACTCCTGGGTGAAGACCTTCCTGGAGTTAATATAGCTCTCCTAAATTAACATAATGCCTTACTGGGAGAAGTCCTTGAGTGGGTCCCACCCTTCTTGAGTATTCCCCTCCCTTGTTCTGATAGCTAAATAAATATGGGCCACCCAGAGAAGATCTTGGTCCTAGCCCTGAGAGAATCTCAAATTCTGTGAGAGGGTTTTGATTCTCCTGGAGTCCTGAAATCATTCCATTTGTCTCTTTTATTTAGCTTTTGCAGTCCACTTGTTTGGGAGATTGTGGGGCTTGATTGGTCTGCAATAACTAAGGGATAATATTAACTCAATATCCTCCAATATGTTGATGCCTCCTCATCTACCACCCCACCGAGGAAGTGTCCAATCAGACTGTAGTGACAGTGCTCTACCTCTTGGATATAAAGTCTCCAAGTCTAAGGCCCCACTCTGCCTACACTGGGTCATTTACCTTGGCTGTGTCCTCATCCTGGGACAGAAAACTTTGTCTCCTGAGAGAATAGAGGCCATTTGTCAGCTGGGGCCACCCCAGTCTCAGAAGCAACTCAGAGCATTCATGGGAGTGGCCAGATTCTGCCACATCTGGATCCTTCACTTTGGGGTCATAGCAAAATCTCTGTGCAAAGCCACTGGGAGACCTGATAGAATGGACACCTAAGATCACTGAAGCCTTCAAACCTTAAACACTCCTTAACTCAGGCTCCAGCCCTAGGAATTCCCAACCTGAAAAAACTTCACTTTGTACCTGGCAAGAGCCGGCCACAGGGGTCCTTACCCAGTAGTTGGCACCAGACAAGCAGCTGGATGGGGTGGCACAGGAATGCCCAAGCTGCCTGACAGCCATAACCACCACCGCCCTGCTGGTAGAGGAGGCCACTGAATTCACCACAGGGCAGCCTTGGTAGTGCTGACACTCTTAAAATCTAGAAGTCACTTGTAGCTGACCAGGGCTGACTGAATGCCAGGTGGCCCTTAAGTACCCAGGGGTAACCCTGCAATCCTGTATCACCCCCAACCTGGGCACCTTGCTGCCCAGTGGACCTCCCATCTAATGTGATGACCAGGTTAACCCCCAGACTGGAGCTTGCAAAGCAGACTTAGATGACCAACGTGGCATGGTGGCATACACCTGTAATCCCAGCACTTGGGAGGCTGAGACAGGAGGATTGCTGTGCGTTTGAGGCTAGCCTGGTATACAAAGTGAGTTCAAGGCCACCTGAACTGCATAGGAAAACCCTATCTCAAAAAAAAAAAAGACCACCCTGCGAAAGATGAGGCTCTCACTTGGTTTACTGATAGGAGCAGTCTGGAGGCATCTAGAAACAGGAGAGCGGGACAGAATAATCGAAGCTGGAGGGCTCCCTCCAAGCACCTTCATCCAAAAGGTCAAGTTTATAGCTTGCTCAAGAGCCCGAGTCAAACAACGGCCAGTGCATCAGCGTCTGCATGAAATCAAAGAATGCTTTCCTGGTCCTATACACCCACACAGCCTTGTGGAAAGAGAGGACTCCTAATGGGATGACAGTTTTGGGCAAAACACAGACCAGTGATTCTCTGCCTGTGGAGACAGAAGAGGAAGGTGCTGCATCGCAGACCTCCCCACACGACTCTGATGAAGAAGTGCAAGTCACAGGGGTCAGAAGCACAAATGCAGAGGATGCTCAATGTCGGGCACCAATCCTTACCTGCCACAGACAACCCACTGGAAAGTACCCAAGTCTCCACGATGCTTTCCATGTGGGAAGGATGCCACCCCACTAGAGCTCACCAGCTCTTTGCCAGACCAGAAATCCCCACCATGGTGGCAAAGATGTGTGATCCTTATGCCCTGTGTAATCAGAACAGCCCTTGTCCTCTCCCTGAGCCTATCCAGAAGAGAGGGGAAAGCCCTGGGAGGACTGGCAGAGACCTCACCTCTGCCCCCTTCAGGGACACAAACATTGCTAGTGTTCATGGACTCATATGCCAGCTGGGCAGAGACTTTCTCCACCTGGACAGAACGGGCCAGCCAGGTTGCCCAATCACCAGGTCCTAACAATCCCTCCAGAGTGACAACCGGCCACCCTTCATCTCCCAGATGACTCAAGCCCTGCCCAAGCATTGGACATAAAGGATTGCCTACATCTTATCTGGAGGCCACACTCTTCTGGGAAAATAAAAGAAGAAATCAGACCTGGCAACAGGCCTTTGCCAAGAAACCCACTCTGAGTGAGTGAATCTTCTGCCCAGGCCCTCATGAGGATCAGGGCAGCCCCCAAGGTCAAAATCTATCTCAGATGAGTGACAGGTCACTCCTGACAGCTGATTTGGTAACTGACTCAAAAACCTCTGGGTGGACACACCAACCACATTGCCCACCTGAGGGTGGTCCAACAAGCCCTGGGGGATTATGGGAAGCAAATCCTTCCCACCCTGTCACCAGGAATTCTAACCCTTCAAAGAATCTTCCTCCAGAAGAGTCCCAGTGTTGTAGTCAGGGTTTGCAAGGGAAACAATACAGGATACATACTTTATAGGATTATTTTATAATAGTCACCCAGAGAGTCAAGTACAAAAGAGTGCAGGATATCTGTCCATACACTAAAGACCCAAAGAATCCAGCTGAGGGCCTGGATCCTCCTGCGTGAGTCCAGCTGAAGACCTAGAGCCTATGATAATGTCTCATTCAAGGATATGCACTGGGAAGACCCAAAGGTCAGTGGTGGAAGCTACAAAGTCTACACTAGTGGAATGAAGGACCTGTGCCAGCAGGCTGAGGGATCAGCACTGGAGCCAGGAAGCAACACTCAAAGTAAGGACTAGAGCTCCCCGAAAAAGAACCACAGCCATCCTCAGTGACAGCGAGAACCTGAGCTCCTCTAACGATGAGAACAGCTGAGTTCATATCAGGAAAGCCAGCATAACAAGCTCCTCCAGGAGAACCAACAGCTCCCTCACAACACCTCTTCTCTAGTTCTCCTTTTTATTTTCTTGGCAACAATCATCAGGTGGGCCTTCTACACCCAGCACCACACAGACTCAGTTTAGTTGGGTGTTCGAAGTTGCCACCAGTTGTCAATCTACTACACCAGTGAAGAGGTAGAGGAAGGAGGCACCACTCTCCTGAGGCCTTGGTCCAAGGGTCCCTATGATGTCCTGCTAACCACCCCATTGCCACTAAGATACATGGACTGGATAGGTAAACACATCT